TAAAATCTATAATCAAATAAAAAAAAACAAAAAATAAAATTAAAACAAAAAAAAACAAGCGTAAATTTGCTATTATACAGGAGTAGATGAAAATGTGTTTTTAAGAAGACAGTTTTGTAAAGTCCTACGTTTCAAAATACTTTGCATGAGAGCGAAATGCAGAACTTTAACTAAAAACCACCCAGAAACCGAAAAGAACACACATTTAGTATAATACAGTGTAATTATTGAAAGGCAGGAACGCAAAATTTAAGGTTATAGAGCGGTGACAGTCGAAAGCCAAGGGGAAAAGTTAATTACTAGTACAATTATAGCAAATTAAATTTAATTTCTCAGAGCTAATGATACACTGACAAAAATTTAAGGGCAAAATTTACTGCATTAACATTGAAAGCTAGCAAGTTTTGGTATTTCTTCGATTTCAAATTTACTTTCTTTCCAGATTAGAGTTACCACTTTAGAAAAAAATGTGTCGAAACTTTAATTTTAAGTAATATGTTTAATACAATTTTTCGTCATATTTGCTTTTTTTTAGATAAGAGTTACCATATCAGAAAGAAATATGTAAAGATTAAATTTAAAATAAAAGAATTTAATAAATTTTTTCGTGATATTTACTTTAGATTAGAGTTAGCACAATAAGTCTTTAAATTTAGAACTTTTTGGTGTGTCAAATATATTTTTAAATATTTTAAACAACATAGAAAAATTAAAATAAAAAAAAACTGCCTTTGAAATTTTAAATTTAACTTTCTATTTTTATAATTTTTATTGAAAAAAAATTTTTTTCACACAAATCTCGTTTTTGTTGTTACTTTTCTACACACAGTTGCAATTTGTTGAAACAAAGGTTCATAAAAATATAAATATTTTAATAATAACAAAAATTATTCACCTTTGTAAACCCTTGTTAATGGCTAACATCGGGCTTTTTCCAATGCTAAAAACGAAATCGGTAGTTTTTCGGTCAATAGTATTATTTTTTTCCACAAAATTAGAAGAAAAAGAAAAACATAAAGAAGGAAAAATTAAATAAGTACGGTTTTAGTAAAAACAATAGTAGCGAAAAAAAGTTGCGGTTAGTATGACTGCTGAGATCGTTTCAATTTCGTAAAGGTCGCAAACTTTCGTTTTCTGTTTGAAAAAAATTATTAAATAATTCTAATTTCAGATTTTTTTTTTTATTGAAAAATGTGTTTGGAAGTACTTTTTGTATGGTTTGGTTCACATTTTCAGAAATAATATACTGCTGGGCTCTGTGAGGAAAATACGGAATTAAAAACTATATGAAAAAATAAACAATAGTGAGCTTGATATTTGAAGCTATTATTTATTTAAAATAATATATGTTTGAGTGAAATTAAAATTTGAAGTACCAAATTAGAAGTTTCGATTTAACCGGTTATTTGAGGTTATAAAAGGAGCTTAAAAGTTGCAAAAATGCTTCGGTGCTTGACTTGGCTAAACTAGCGCTTTACTAAGAAAGTAATTTAAATGAAAAAACTTTGAGTTAAAGGTTAAATTTCATAGAAAAAATTGCGCTGTTAACTTACAGCTGTAATTTTCTCACACTCTGTAGCTTTTACTACGCTCTCAGCTGCACTTAAAAGCTCGCGCACGCGTAACTAACTGGCACGCGCACCTTGTCATACTATGTATTTACGCTTGCACAAAGTTTTTCACATTGTCTACAATAAATTTCGAACTTTCCTAAGCTTTCACTTGATGACACTTACCTTATACGTCCAGCCGATGGCAGTGCGCCAGCAAGACGACGCGTTGCGGCAGCCGCTTGTGGTGTCAAATAAGCGGCCAATGGTGGTGGGAGTTGAGCTTTGGCGCTATTGCTAGGATTATTGGCAAATTTAACAGTTATTGGTTCGGTGTAACCCTTGGGCGTTTTACCATTTAATTCCTGTATAGCGCGCTCGGCTTCGTTGCGTTGGTCGAAACGTATAAAACCGACACCTTTCGATAGACCTATGAAAAGCAAAACGAAGTTTTTATTATGTTTTACTCAGAAAAAATATAGCAGAGTTGACGGAGAGCGCTTAAAGTGACAGCATTGGTAGTTGTCAAAGCTAAAGCAGCGCATGGTTGAAGTCTGAGTTGCCTTGAGCGCAATCAACCATTATGTGCATCAGTTTATATAAAAGCTCTCACAGCGCTCTGCTATCTAACTTACTTGTGTATATTAAAGCTTTACTCACCAGAAATATTATCACAGAGTATACGAGATGTAATTATCTTGCCATATGATGCGAATAGTGCCTCCAAGTCTGGTTGTGATAGATTTTTGGGAAGACCCGATACATACAAATTAGCACCCTTTATTGATTCCGAACTTGGACGGGCGTATGATACTTTAATCACTTTATTCTGCAAACGCAAGCCATTCAATGTATTAACGGCCTTCTCAGCATCCTCGGCGCGTACATAGTTAACAAAACCGTAGCCCAAGCTTTGACCGACTGCAGCGGAGAGAGAGAGAGATATAGTGAGTGACGTTAAAAGGATTGAAACATAAATTTATAGGTTTGAGCTTAACGAATGTTGCCGAATTAAAGCGGTGGCTTACCTTGTTGCAATGCCGGATTTAGTGCGGTCAAAGAAGCTGGCAACACTGTAACAAATATTAAGTAATAAAATAAAATTAATATTTTAACGCTGCAAATTACGAACTAGTTAATATTTAGAACGAACATAACTTAGTTTCTTTTAAGTTTTGCAAAAGTAGCTAAGTTTTACTTAAGTGTAACACAAATAACTAATTTTTTATTTATTACATACAATCAAGTAAAACTTAAGTTTCTTTTAAATTAAGGAGCGAAACAGGAAACTTTAAGTTGCACTTAAGTACTTAATTGTATTTGTTTTTTTTTTCGTTGAAGCTAATGAAAGAAAACTCAAATTAAGCTTACTTAAGTGCTTAAGTTTTGGTTAAGTAAAACTTAAAAATTTAAATTAAGGAACGAAAAAAGAAAACTTACTTAAGTACTTAAGTGTTGGTTATGTAAAGCTTAAGTTTACTTAAGTACTTAATTGTATTTGCTTTTTTTTTGTTTTCGTTGAAACTAATGAAAGAAAACTGAAATTAAACGTACTTAATTTATTTTTCGCTAAATAAATGAATGAACCAAAAACTAGAGATTTGTAACTTAAGCACTCAAGTTAGGTTAATACTAAATAGCTAAGTATTACTTAAGTTGCGCTTGAATATATGAAATATAGATAAACTTAGCTTGAGCACAATTTGTGTGTTACGCGGATTTTACGCCGGTTTTTACATTTACCGCTGTCAGTTATCACACAACTTGTGTTACAGCTTCACTTAAGCGCAACTTAAGTGCTTTTACTTACAGAATAATTAGTGTGAAAAAAGTTGCATATTTACCCAAATTACCTGAGGCTTTGTCGCGCACAAGCTTGCAACTCTCCAATTCGCCAATGCTCGAGAAGAGCGAACGCATCTCCTCCTGCGTCATTGTCTGTGGCAAATAGTTCACAATCAAGTTGGTGCGCGACTCATCCGAGCTGCCATCGACCGAGCCATTGGCGCTGCCATTCTTCACAATATCCATGGCGTTGGTCATTTTCTTGCCGGTGCTTGCTTGTGACGTTTGCTTTTTATTAACGACTGTTGTTGTTGCTGCTGCTGCTGCTGTTGTTGCGGCGCTTGCTTGCTTTTGGGGCGTAATTTTGAAGTTCGCTCTCAACGGTTGTGTGCGCTCAAACGCGTGCTCTCTCTCTTACTCGCCTAACTTCCTTGCTGTTGGCGCGATCTATGATCTGCCTACACACGAACTATATCGCTTTCGAACTATGCACTTGCGTTCGCCTGGCTATCTAACTGTACTGTTTGCTTAGCGCTTTGTTGCTTTATTTGTATGAATGATTTGTTGTTGCTTAGTAATTAGTCTCACTGCTTGTTTAAATGTCGCTTAAATTTAATTTAATTTAAATATTTCTTTTATAAGAGCTTTGATTGCGCTTTGCACAAGTCCAGTTGGAAATTAAGTATGTAAGTAAGTAAGTATGTAAGTTAGTTTAAGTAAGCTTTCGCTAAAAATTATCTTTACACAAATTGCAAATAGTTTTAGCTTTGCTTATTTATTTACTTTTTTGCTTGTTTTTTTTTTTTTTTTTTTTTTTTTTTTTTTTTTTTTTTTTTGAGAATTTTCTTAATACTTTTTTTTTTAAATTTCACTATATAAGTACTTTTAAAAAAACTTTTTATAATATTCAAAGTTGGTGTTTTAGTTTTGACTTCCTTACGGTTTCATCCTAATACTTCACGTTATGATTTTTTTTATATTTTCTTATTTCACTTAATAATGCTAATTCATAATTTATACTCACTTATTGGAACGAATAATTTAAATTAATTTTAGCTCTTAATTTTCTTTGGTGCTCTTAGAAGAAGTTCTTTCACATTTCGCACTCATATTTTGATATAACATTGATTTGTTTAATAATAATTTCTAATATAAAATTTTTTATGCTCATTTTTTTAACTTTTTTCATACACATTTCGACTACTTAATTTTCATTAGTAAGCGTGAAGTGGCAACTAAAAAAATATTTAGTTTACGAAAACATTCATACATATTATTTTTTCTTTGACTATTCATTTATATTAATTTAATATTTTATTTTAATAAAAATTTGCTGGTTATTTTTTAAAACATTGATCGCATTTGATTAACTATAAATAGTTGTGATTCATAGTGTAGAGTGAGAGAAGTGAAGTGTGTAAATTATGAAAGCTCTCAAACAGCACTACACCCAAAGAATGATCTCTAAGCTAAAACACGGAGCCTCACATTAAGGAAAATGATAGAGAGAAACTGAGAGAAGCGCCAATGAAAGGGAGATCGAAAGAGAGCCAAAAAATAAGCGAGATCTCAACAAAAAGCGTTACAGCTAATCGTTTTTGTATAGTTTTTTTTCAGCTGCTGGGTGTGCAACTTTACTAAATCATTACACGAAATATATTCTCGGGCTTTCATGATTTTACTGCTCGGCTCCCGCCAATCTTGTTTTGCTGTTTCAATACACTTCACACTCAAATCACTCGCACTCGCTTGAACAAATTTTTTTCTAAGTCACAGCAATTACTGCTTGCATTTCTAGTGCAATTGTGTTCCCTATCACCGCCTTAATATTGCTACCATTTACATGCCACTGCACCAGCTTTCCAAACTAGCACTCTCAGAGACTATAATGTTCAGCTGTTATACTAATTTGCGCGACGCTCTGCTCTCATTGCTTTTTATAACGATCAAACTGCTTTTCTCCTTATTTCCTTCATATTCCTCTATCTTACTCTGGGTAAAACTGTTTTTCCCTTCTCTCCTTTGCACCTTAGCTCCTTCCAACATTGTAGCTCTCTCTCGTTCTCTCGCTCTCACCCTCTTTACATAGCTTCTGCTTCTCTTCTTCTCTCTCTTTCTTTCTACCTTCTTCCGTTCTTTTTCTCCCGCAAACGTTCTGCCTCTCACTCTCGCCATACTCTGGCTGCTTCTCTCATCTATCCGCTATGCTAATCGCTCACACTCCACAATTGCTATAGCCAATCAGAGTTGCGCACGTAGCGCGTGGTTGCCATCTAGATGTAATTTGCACTCGGTTTTAAAATTTCAAATAATTCACACATTTATTTAGTTAATTTCATGGCAATATCAATTAATAAATTTATAATAATAATAATAATTAATTTAATAATAGCAAATAGCTTGTTTTTTATATTGTATTTTATTTATGTATTGTATGTATATTTTTATTTGTTTGGTTTTTTGTTTTTGTTTTGATACTGTTATTATATAAACATTTTATGCTGTAAAATATGCGTATCGGTTGCTTTACTTTGTGTGTGTGTATGTCTGTTTATTTTGTTTTATTTTTATTTTTTCTCATTATTTATGTTTCATGCAATAATTAATATATGAATTTATAATATTTAGATTTTTAAGTATTTTTCTCAGCATTTTTTTAGTTTTGTTTTGAAACTANTTTTTTGTTTTTGTTTTTTTTTCCTTTGTTTTTGACTAGAAGACTTTACACTGTGTTGTTGGCGTGGAGCTTTCGCTTGTGGCCACTTTGAGCTTTCGTGCGTTTTTGGTAGCTTTCGCTCTGCGTTGCTGCTTGGTGTATGGGTTTTAGATCAACTACGATCGTTTTACGCGCGTTTCTTTGTATGTGTGTTTATGAGTTTCTTTTGCTAAAATTTTGCGTTTTAGTAAAATTGATTTTTCAATGATTTTTTTYTTTTTGGTTTTTCTTTAGTTAGTTGTTGTTGTTTAAGTTAAAAGAGTAAATTTTGCTAATGATTCTTTATGTTCGTTAAGTGTGTATCTCTGCTTCTCAAAGGATTGTTCGTGTATTGATTCGCCTTTGTAAGTATATATATATATATATATATTATAATATTTGCCTTTTTATTATTTATATTTGTTTTTTTATAAAATTGCAAAAATGCAAAAAGACAGCAATATTTATATTTTTATATAATTTATATTCTCCGCTCACTAAGATTTTATTTAAAAATTTGCTTTTATGTTGTTTTAAGTTCTCTCTTTACTCTCTCTTAACTGCTGCTGCTATTGGTGCTGTTGCTCTCTTGATCTGCTGGTGCTTTATGGAACATTGGTATTTGTATGTCACGTTTTTATATTTATATATATATATATATATATATTGTTGTTGTTATAAACTGTTGGTTTTATATTCTCTTTGTAAAAATTTAATATGATTATTCGTTAGCTCCTTTTTATGGATATTTGTTTTGCTCTGCTGCTATTCTCTTTAGTTTAGTATAGTTGGTTTTATTTGGTGGTGTAGATTTGCAAGATTCTCTTGGATCTCGATTTACTTCGCCGCTCTCTTGATTTTGCTAACTCACAGAGTTTCTACTCTTTTTATGACAACTGCACGATTGCGCTCACGTTGAAATAATCAATCTGTAAAGAGTATAGGAGAAAATTAGCCTCGAACTACATACTCTTTTCGATTTAGGTAGAAGCTGGCGATAACTAAATACTGCATCGAGGCTATTAGTAATTGTCTGAGTAATGGTAATTATCATTGTAATGGAATTGGTAATCATTTTGGTAATGATAATTAAAGTTGTTGTGATATAGGTAAAAATATGTGCAATGCTTTTAATAATTGCCTAGGTAATAGTTATTGTAATGGTAATTATAACGCGTAATGATATTGGTAACCATTTTGGTAATGATAATTAAAGGTGTTGTAATATTGGTAAAAATATTTGCGCTGCTTTTAATAATTGCCTAAGTAATGGTTATTGTAATGGTAATTATAATGCGTAATGGTATTGGTATATATTACAAAATGTATTCAACAAATATGTTACTTAAGGAAATGGTATTGTAATGAAAACTCTAGCGGTAATTATGAAAATAACTTATTGCAAATTCGTAAACTTTTTAAACACAATGTCATATTTTTGTTAAAAAAAAATTTTTTTTGAGTAATCCTAACGGTATTGTCACGTAATTACACAAGTAATCATGAGCAATTGTTATTTCCAGTCAGATTATAGTAAAATACAAGTCCAGTGTAAGCCCCTAATCCCAACCCCCGCTGATCTACCCACCCACACACATATGTAAGTGCATATATGCAATTACTGTTTTTAATATAATTAACAATTGATCAAATTGTTTGCCAACATTGAAGTGGAAATAAACGTTCCATCATGACTTTCAAGAAGTGCTCAAACAGAAAATATATGCACTTACGCAAGTATACGCCAACACACTGTAAGTACACAGGCATAAGCATATTTAATCAACAACAACAGCAGCATCGGCAAGTGTAATGCAATACGGGCTATTAGGGCGCAAAAAAAAAAAACTCAGACTGCGTAGAGCCCAGTGGGAGATCCCGCGGCAAAAGATGTAATTAAATGAGTGGAGAGAGCGAGCGGTGGTGGGGTGTATGAAACTGACATATGGGTTTGGGCGATATTAATGCCCACATGGGTATTAATCAACTTTTTATGCTGCAAGTTGTTCGGGTTAAATAACAACCCTTAAAAATCACCGACTACGCGACCGCGTAGAAACCCTTTTTTATTTATTTATCATTTTTTTGCTGTTGTTTTTTTATTTTCGTTTTTGTTTTAAGCATATGCGGATTATGACTTTAGCGCCAGCGCTGGCACACAATGCCAACAGTGTGCGCTTTTGTCATCTTTGTTTTTTTGTGTGTTTTGTTTTTATGCCACAAATGCAGTTAGTTGCAAGTCTTCCTATTGTTTGCGGTTGTTGGCTATATATATTTTTCTTTCCATGTATTATGTGACTCTCGCAGCGCAGTATTTTTGTTCAATTGTCGGGAAGTAATTCACTAATTCACAGATAGATTTCATTTCATTTGCTTTGTTGGCATTTTTTCCGGTTTAACTGTTTTTCTTTTATTCCTCCGCTTTTGAAACACAAGTGCTTGGAAAACAGGCGGTTTTTAATTAAATTTGTTGCTTTTGAGCTCAGCAGGGAAAGGTATTATCGACAAAGAATTAATTGATTCTGATAGAAGTCAAAAATTTTTTTTTGGATTTTTCGGAGAAATGGATTTTTTTGTTAAGCAGCATTTACATTAAGACTTACATATGAGAGCCCATTTAACTTTTCCAAAAAAAGGTCTTTGCTACAAATTAAATACAATAAATACCGCATCGTTTATGCAAAATTTCAAAATTTTTTGTTAAGCACTTAAGGTTTTCTTAAGTATTTGCTTGAGTTGCTTCGAATTTTGATAATTTAGTTTGAATTAATATTAAACATTTAAGCTTCATTTATGCAGAATTTTAAAATTTTTTGTTAAGATCTTAAGTTTTTGTTAAGTATTTAATTAGGTTCTAAAAGTAAAATAAAAAAATTAAAAAACTATTGTTAAGTAGTTGCATTAGTTTCTTCGAATATTGATGTTTGATTCCAACTTTTTGTTAAGCACTTAAGTTTTTGTTAAGTATTAGATTAAGTTTGAAGTAAAAAAGTACAAAAAAAAATAATTAAAAAATGTTGCAAAGCGTTTTTTTAAGTTTTCCTCGATCGTCTTGATGTTTAATTTCCAATAATTTACAAAATCTTATGCGTTTTCTTGAAAAATTAGTAAATGCAAACAAATAGTAAGCATTCGGGCTAGTTTTTTTTTTCAATATCGTACTATAAATAGATAAATTTTTCATTTAGTACTATATTTCTTTTAAGTTTTACTTCAATTTTTATAAAGTATTATATATTTTTTCATCAACTGTAAATTTTTCATAGAACTGGAATGATTTATATAACTTTCGAAGCATTATTTATTGAACTTGAATTTCCATACTAGAACGTCAGGCTTTAAATAATATTATAAGTAATTTTTCGGTAACTTTTACTGAAGTTTTTGTTAAGTATTACATATTTTTAAATCACATTTAATTTTATCATAGATCTGCTGTATTTTAGATGACTTTCAGAGAATTAATTCGTTAAGTTTTGCAAGTTTCGTGCATTTTAAAATTGCAAAATTCCAGCTTTTCGAACCTTTTAAGTTCTAAAATAGAGTTTTTAATATTTTTCAACAAGGATATAAAAGAATTGTATGTGTCTCATTTATGCTTTCATAAATAAAATCGTCTCCACTTCGCCTCAACTACTTGTCACAAGACCTTACACAACTGCTCCTTTCCAATTCGAATAATTTCTTTTGTCTTTCATTATAATTTTCAACTTCAGCTGATTTACATTCATATTTCCAAAACAGTTTATTACATAGCATACATAGATACACCCACTTGCATACAGTCATATCGGATTTCTAATCAGAATTGCTGTGTGGCATGCAACTAGCCTGCTCAACCCGTTTGCATAGCTGCTGCGTGGTTGGACTGCTCGTTAACAGCGCCTAGAGCAGCACTGTTGTCCTGCATACAGGATGAACCTAACTGCTTTGGTGTGTGTGTGTGTGTGAGCGAAGGGTTGCATGCAACATGAGTTCAAATGCACATACACGCACACATACAAATTCAGTGATATATGATACAATAGCGTGCTATGCTTTGTTGCTAAGCTAAGTTTTGTCTATTCTGTGACTGCCCCCTTCGCGCTGTTGTTGTTGCAATTGTTTTTGCTATCGAAATAGTCAAAATACGTGTCTAGAGTCCTTGCACATTTGATTGCTCGCTTTACACGACAACTTTGACTCGCTACACTCGCATTCGTTGCATTTATGCCGCCTTCCTCTCTCCCCATTTCTCTCTCACACTCATTGCAAGGCTCGTATTGCATTTGCTATGCTACAACAATCCTACAACAGCAACAACGACAGCTGCGACTTCATAGACAAAACTTCATAAACACACACGCACACATATGTACATGCGCTCACGCTAGCAGTTGAACAAAAATGCATAACTGCAGTTGAGCTGTGTCTAAGCGCGGAGTTTAACGACCTCACCACATCTACTTTGTATGTGTTTTGATGTAGTGACTTTCGCGGCTGCCGGCACAACGACCAGCCAAACAAACGAACACACACACATATATATGTATACATAGATATGTATATTTGATCGTTATCCTGATTGAGATATCCTTGCATGCACATTATTGCCGTTGCTTAGAGAAAGAAAACAAATTTCTTGTGCCGCAGATAGACAGACCTATGCATACACATATTTACATATTTATGTTCCTTTGTAGTATAGCTTAAGGATGTATAAATATAGTTTATATTTGTTTGGTTATGTTATCGGTGGTAATCGTATTTATATAGTTTAAACTTTTAAAAATTAGTAGAACACATACAGCACCTGACGATAAAGTAGGCTTCTCCATGCATATTTAAAAAAAACGCACTTTATAAAGTTTTGTTATTTTATCTATTTAAAAGTTATTATATGTATGTATGTATATAGAAAAAATATTGGAAATTCATAAAAAAAATGTATTTCCCTTGAATTTTTTCATTATTTTAAAAGTATTTACGGGTAAAAGTAGTCTCAA